ATCACTGCCACCCTTTCTGGAGGGCTGCAGTGCAATGTCAACCCCAGCACGTGACTTAGCTTCATTACAGCTTTGATGTTGCCTGTCCTAAACCCAGCATTTAATTAGCGTCATCAAGTGTTTATTTTATCCCTGTTCATTTATTTAATGCTAGAACTTTCTTGTGATATGCTGAGCTTCCCAAAAAAAAACAAAAATTAGCAATGCAAAGCTAGCGATATCTGTATATATCTCTATCTATCTATCTAATCTATCTATCTATCTATCTATCTATCTATCTATCTATCTATCTATCTATATATATATATATATATATATATATATATATATATATATATATATATATATATATATATATATATATATCTATCTATCTATCTATCTACCTATATAATATATTTTCTTTAAATTTATTTATATATACATGTATTCTATATATATAAAAAAAAAAAAAATATATATATATATATATATATATAAAGAATACATGTATATATAAATAAATTACAAAATATATATATTATATAGGTAGATAGATAGATAGATAGATAGATAGATAGATAGATAGATAGATAGATAGATGTATATATATATATATATATATATTATATATATATATATATATATATATATATTATATGTATTATTTTTTAAGGCATGTAACAAGCTCTTTTGCATAAACATTAATGGGATTGAAGTGGTAGTGCATTGGGAGCCTTCCTGTGAGCCAGGGTGGAGTTTAATAGGCGATGGATGAGAGATGAAGCTTCGGGAGTCCTTAGTAGAGACACACACTTTGCCTGATGCTTATCAATGTCAATTGCAAACTGCCATATTGCTCAGTCTCCTGGGAAAGTTGAACGCTACTTGTGGCTTTTGACAAGGCTCCGGGTATTTTTAGAACCTTTGCCCTCGTTCTGTCTTCAGCACCATTGGTAACACAGAGTGCTACCAGACTTTCATATTCTCGGTAGATATGATAGGAGTTGCTGTGTATTTTTCTGATTTCTAGGAGGCCGGTGATCATCACACTGACCTCACAATACCGGTATAGCTTCACTCTCAGCTTTTCATTATTTGCAGAGGTTAATACATCCCTGCAGCAGGGTCATGTCAAACCCAGCACTCTAATGTACACATGTGATATTCTAGGCAATGCTCAGGCGTGGGCTCTTTGCAAAAAAAAAAAAAATGTACAGAAATAATAATTACAGCCATTCCTCTGATCACTGGAAATAATTAGAACTAGGCGTGCACTTGGCATTCCCATCTTCCAATCCCACTGATTAAAAGTCAACTTCTATTTAATACTGCTGTCTGTGGATGCTCTCCGGAGCTGAAGGCTGAAATATGGAGATTAGACTTTAAAGGGCATCAAACATTCCAAGTATTCAGAAGAGCTTACCTGTGCTTAGATATGGTGGCTGCATTCCTTTTCTTTTTCTGCACTTTGGAGTTGATTTATTAAAACTGGAGAGTGCAAAATATGGTGCAGCTGTACATGGCAACCAATCAGCTTCTAACTTCAGCTTGTTCAATTTAGCTTTGACCAAAAAGAAAGTGAAAGCTGATTGGTTTCTAGGCAGAGCTGCACCGGATTTTGCACTCTCTAGTTTTAGTAAATCAGCTTCTTTGCAGCATTTATTTTAAAATCCTGCCACCAATTTGCTTTCTGTCCTAGAGTGACAATCAGCCTAGGACAGGGAGTAAGTCAGGACTACATAACTCTATTGTTAGGACCACACAACACCCCTCATTCTTTTGCATAAGGGGGATGTGTTTTATAGTCCACATATTGCAGGCAATAATGCACCAGAGGCAAAGGGGTTGAGTTACTAAAAGGCACTTTCCAAGGGAATTTGCCCCTGAGCCTAGTGAATGAGCTAACTTTCATTATCCTAGCATATGCAAGCATCAATGCTGTTTTTTTTAACTTGCAGTAGATTGGGTATTTTATGCACCATATTCAGTAAGCTCTGGAGCAAATACCTTTGCAAAGTGAACAGCCTATTTGCCTTTATTACAATCAACCCCAAAGAGCACAATAACGTATCAGCCCACAAGATTACCAGCTTCCATGAAATATATATATATATATATATATATATATATATATATATGTGTGTGTGTGTGTGTGATTTTTATATATATATATATATATATATATATATATATATATATATATATATATATATATATATATATATATATATATATATATAAAGTACTTGTGGAACAAATACAATAAAAAGCTTTCAACAGTCATGCAACAAACCAAAAGGGGGCAAGTAAGAGAAATTAGGGTTTACATTCACTTTAATATACAGTTTTGGAAATAACCTGTGGGCACGTATAACGTGGCACGCACTCGCTGTAGAGAAAGCAGCTAGTATAGGGGGAACCTAAACTGAATATGTTAGCAGCGACTACATTAATAAATCGCCATATGGTATGAGATCACTATGGTAATAAGCAAGTCTAATGGTGATTTTGCGGTGATTTGAAGAAAGCATGCAGCGATTATTCTAATAATAATGATAATAATAATAATATATATATTTATATATATATATATATATATATATATATATATATATATATACTGTGCATGTATATATATATATATATATATATATATATATATACAATGTGTGTGTATATATTTATTATTCACACACACACATATATATATACATTTTATATATATATGTATATATATTCTTTTTTTTATTATTATATATATATATATATATATATATATATATATATATATATATATTAGGTGAAGTAAATCAGGTAGCAGTATCAGAGACGCCTGTCTGTTACAATCAGCAGGACTACCTAGTGTCACCATGGTAGATGACCTTGTCCCATGGACTTGAGAGCAGACAGTGGACCCGACCTGCACTCAATCCTAGCACAAATTGACTGAATGGAAGAGATCAATGGCCACAATGACACTTGAGTCGCCTATTCCCAGTCCTCCTTGTACCTTACCTTGTTCAGCCGAGCAAAGCAACACTACAAGGGGAAATATTGTTTGCAAGTGCAGATGTTGCGGTCACATAGCATTCATTGAATCCATCATGTCCTTTGAAATATGGATAAAGCAGGATGTGAAGCTATTCCCCCAGCCAGGCCCCTGATCACATTAGACACCAGTCTAGCAATCCATCAGTACCCTGGAAACTTAATGCTATTTAGAGTTAATGCTCGCTGTAATTATTTTTGCCTTGTAAATATGTTAATTCGCTTTAATATTGACGATAAACTGACATTTACAGTAGACATTCATTTATAATCTATATTACCACCGCATAATTTAATAGAGCAGGGTTGGCTGATACGTCTCTTGATATTTGGCGGAGACATGGAAAATTACTGAGTGGATCAGGAATTAAAAAAAAAAAAAAAAGGTCACTGATTGCGTTAAATGGACCTAAATCAGGACTAATAGAGATATAGATGAGAAGGCAGGCGGCTGCATCTAGGAGCTGTGAGTTGTCCTGCCATCCATAGAATCAATCAGTGAGGCCCTGGCATTCCTATAAACTTGGTGTGAGCCTCTTTTTTTCCAGGGCTTGCCTAATTGCACACGTTCTCCAAGTATATTGTTGGGAGCACTGCAATTAAGACACTTCCCCTGGAAAGGAAACAATTGCATCTAGTGCATGGGCAAGCATCTCATTGACAGCGATCTCACGCAGGCTTTGGGTGGAATTAATTATGTAATGTGATTAAATAATAATGAAGGCGAGGATGAAATCATGGAAATACAGCCCGCTATGAAATGACATCCAACACTACAGACACTTGTAGGGGATCATCTACGGTTTCTATTTTTTTTTTTTTTTTTAGCATTTGAACTTTTATTTCATATTCATCAAGTGCATCTCCAAACTCAACGTCAGGAAAATGAGAGTATTGTGATATTAGTAGAGTGAATGAGTCTGATGTGCTAAAGGAGCTGGGGACATTCATACATGTATTCACTTCACTTACCCAAATCTGTGCAGTTGAAATAGAGATTTGTTTTTTTTATTGAATAATTTTAGTGAATTTTCACATATGTGAACATTCTCAGCTCCTTTAGTAAATCATCCTCTACACTTTCCCAGATGAAGGTCCCCTACTAACCTAAAAAAAGGGGGAGACTTCTAGCACCTAACACACCCTATACTACATATATCCAAAAACTGCATCGAAGCTGATAGTAGCTCTGGCTGGAATGTCCATTCAAAGCAATTATTATTTCACTGGAGAACAATGGTCATAGTGCAACCCCAAGTTCACGATGAGTATCCAAAAAATAGGAATAAAACATTTATTTTCCGTTCAGAATCTGTTTCCTAGACAGCTGCCAAGTCTAAAAATCTGCCAATAAATGATCCCTTTTAGTGGTCATTTACTAAGAAATGACACAAGTCGATCGCAATGATCTCCCATTTCTTGACAATGACAACCTTGTCCTTGCACTTTATTTGGGGCATTGTAGGCAGATCAGCGACCTTCTCTTAGCCCTGTTTCCATATTTGCCTTTTTTTTTATAGGAACATTTTTTTATTATTATATTTTTTTTAGTTGTGTGTTGCTGCTTTCTGTACAAAAGTCAAGGTGCACTGATGCCAAGCAGTGATGAAATAAGAAGAAAGCCAATTGCTGGACTGAGTTGGGGGGGTGTGGGGGGGGGGGGGATAGCTGCTAGGAATCCGCCTGCAACTGTGGAGAAGTCAGTAATTGCTGGAGACAGGGAGAGCTGGGAGGGGGGGTTGGGCTGAACTATCCATGTATAAATAGTGTGATCTCAAATTGAAAGGCATAAATAACAGCAGGAGTGATCTAACCCTATGCAGTTCATCCTCGTCGTGAAAAAAAAAAAAAAAAAAAGGGAAGGAGAAACAATAAAAAGCTTCCAGGGGACGTGTAGATCTCCTACTGCAAAAAAAAAAAAAAAGCGAGTGGATCTCTGTGGGTAGGTGGCAGAAGATCACAGGGCAGCCATGGAAGAACTTACAGCTTTTGTATCTAAATCGTTTGACCAAAAAAGCAAGGAGGGCAGCGGCAGTGGCAGCGGCAAGAAGGAGACCATCACCTACAGGGAAGTTTTGGAGACAGGCTTGGCTCGGGCCAGGGAGCTGGGGAACTCTGACAGCAACCTCCAGGACATTACAGACAACAGCAATCACTGCCCGCTCCATCTCTACAAAGAGCACACAGACATTGACAAGGACAAGCTCAAAGACTACAGCACGAGCAGGATCTCTGAAGGTAAGTATGTGCATGGGGGACAAACCTTGCCTGCCTGCCTACCTACCTGCTTGCTTGGGCTGGATCAGTGCTGCTGTAGCTGTGACGGAGGACAGCAAAACTTCCAGCCAGATCCACACTGGTCTGTACTAACACACTGATCTGCCTTCTAACAGCTGTATTGTGCATGCCTGTCCTTCTCACTTCCATCCCTTCTATACATGGCTTCATTCTTCCTGTCTGCTCATGAATTCCATCCGATCATTCGGTTTTAAAGAACATCTGGATTTTGTGTAATGTAATGCATGTTGTATGTTCGCCTATTGATTTTTTTTTACTATTTGAAATATTCAGGAATTTTTGTTATGATCGTGTGCTTTAGAAAAAAAATTGCTGGTGTTCTTTTGTTTCAGCACAGTGTAGAGGAAGGGGACCTGGGATGCATTCTATAGCTGAGCTGTGGGATAAAGTTTGCAGAAGTTGCATTGTAGGAAATTGTTTTTTTTTGTGTTTTTTTTTCAATGTGGCCCTGCGACAACCCATTCTGCACTCACTGACATCAAACAGCGACGTTGTCCCCCTATCTCTCAATCAAAGCCATCAAGTGGCCGGACACAAGGGCCACATCGATTAAATCGTTTCTGACCCGGGCAAACAGGTGTCCTTTCTTTCAAACAGGACTATTCCATTGGAAAAAAAAGACATATTGCAAACAGCCTCCAAAACATGTGGCTCAACTTGAGGAGAGGGGGGGGGAGCCCAAAACGTTTTCATCTGGTGTGACTCAAGGTGAAACTAAATTAAAAACAAGACAAGTGAGAGAGCAGGATAAGAGGACATGAGTGATTTTCTTTTCTTTTTTTTTTTGTCTGAGCTGGGTGACACAAACAGCAATATTCCTAGAGATTTAGGCATTGAGCCTGATTCACTAAAGGAGTTGAGAATCTTTACACAAAACATTTATTTTAAATAAAATTAAATTAAAATGATAGAAAAAGCAAATGCCTGTTGCCATCTGCACATGATTAAATAATTAACATGAATATTAACCCGATTTATTAGGTGATCATTTTGAACTCCTTTAGTAAATCAGCCCAGCGCTGTCTGTATTCTCTCCCTCCTTGCCTGCTGTTATAAACCACAATTTTCTTCCATCTCATGCAGGCTTTACATTGATCGAACAAGTGTTTATTGTCTTGCCAGCAACAAGCACACGACACAAATAAATATCCTGTTACCCTTTGCAGCAATACAAAACTGCAGATCTCCTAAATATTTCATATTGAATACCCTGCCCTATGTCAACACGTGGGCCTTACAGACTTTATAAATAGGTGGGATCCTCCAACAAGAATTAAAAGTCACTATTGTGCCTAAAAAAAGTCAACTGTGGCCTTCTAAAGCTCGCAGCCCAACAGCAAATGTAATAAAAGTTTAAGTGGACCGCAAGAACAAAAAAGGATTATAAGATGATTAAAACTGCCTACAAGTACTCTATAAACACGTGGAAACAATTACACGCCCATTTTCTTTACAACCTTTGCAAAGTTAATTTTATATAATGGATTACACCAAACTGGGAGAAGTTTTGGCAGGAGGTTCCAATAAAGAGCAACTTGCAATTTAGAATTTAGCTGCACATCTAGCAATCTATAATCTATCTAATGTATCTATCTATCTATCTATCTATCTATCTATCTATCTATCTATCTATCTATCTATCTATTATATCAATATATTATATATATATATATATATATATATATAGTAATTTTTTTTAACTATGTACAATATATCACACACACACACGCACATATATATATATATATATATATATATATATATATATATATATATATATATATATATATATATATATTACACACACACACATACACAGTGTCATGTTTAAAGCTGCCTAAATGCTGTTTTGCACTGCAACAGCGTGAGTGTTTATAGATAAATTATAAGGGAAAGCCTTGACACTTGACTATCATATTTCTAATTGAGGCTCCATTAACCACCTCCAGAGCCACTTTCTTGCCTTGTTGATTGAAGAATCATTGATAAAAGCTACACTGACTGTTCCCTGCATTCTGTACAGCACAGTTCTGTGTTAATGACAGACGAGCCTACTGAGAGGCATTTTATCCTCAAACTACTGTATACATGATTGCTACATGTTCTATCAAATACATTATAACTATATAGATAGTTGATGTCAGCTAAAGTGTATGTGGTTGCTGCATGTGCTGTGGAATACACTATAACTACACACATTATTGTCAGCTAATTTATCTCTGGTTGCTATATGTGCCAATGAATATACCATATCTATATTAATGCCAGCTAATTTATCCATGGTTTCTATATGTGCTGTAAATACACTATAACTTTTGTAAACATTTAAGTGTCAACTAATTTATACATGGCTGCTATATGTGCTGTAAAATACACTCTATTTTTTTATACATTTAAATGTCAACTCATTTATCCATGGCTGCTATATGTGCTGTACAAGACACTTTTTTATACATCTAAATGTTAACTAATTTATCCATGGCTACTATATATGCTATAACATACACTCTATTTTTATACATTTAAATGTCAACTAATTTATCCATAGAAGCTATATGTGCTGTACAAGACACTTTTTTATACATCTAAATATTAACTAGTTTATCCATGGCTGCTTTATGTGCTGTAAAATACACTATTTTTATACTTTTAAATGTCAACTCATTTATCCATAGCTGCTATATGTGCTGTACACTACACTTTTTTAATATACATTTAAATGTCAACTCATTTATCTATGGCTGCTATATGAGCTGTAAAATACACTCTATTTTTTATACATTTAAATGTCAACTCATTTATCTATGCCTGCTATATGTGCTGTAAAATACACTATAACTTTTTATACATTTTAATGTCAACCCATTTATCTATTGCTGCTATATGTGCAAATGAATACACTATATCTATATTAATGTCAGCTCATTTATCTATGGCTGCTATATGTGCAAATTAATACATTATAACTTTTTATACATTTAAATGTTAGCTAATCTATCTATGGCTGCTATATGTGCTGTAGAATACACTATCTAACTTTTTACACATTTAAATGTCAGCTCATTTATCTATGGTTGCTATATGTGCAAATGAATACACTATATATCTTTATTAATGTCAACTCATTTATCTATGCCTGCTATATGTGCTATAGAATACACTATAACTTTTTATACATTTAAATGTCAGCTAATCTATCTCTGGCTGCTATATGTGCTGAAGAATACACAATAACTTTTTATATATTTACATGTTAACTAATCTATCTGTGGCTGCTATATGTGCTGTAAAATACACTATAATATTTCTTTACATTTAAATGTCAACTAATCTATCTGTGGCTGGTATATGTGCTGTAGAATACAATATTACCTTTTTATACATTTAAATGCCAACTAATGTATCTATGGTTGCTTTATGTTTTGTAGAATACACTATAACATTTTATACATTTAAAATGTACAAAGGAATGCACTCTAACTATATATACGCGAATGGCTGCTATATGTGCAAATGAATGCTCTTTTATTATATATATTTAATAGTAACTAAATAATCTCTTGTTGCTATATGTTTAGGGGGATTTACTATAGCTAATTTGTCTCTGGCTGCCACATGTGCAAAGGAATACACTATAATTATATATGCAATTAATTTCAACTGATTTAACTATGGGTGTTATATGTGCAAAGGAATACACTGTATTTAATGTCAGTTAATTTGTTTATGGCTGCTACATGGGCTATGGAGTAAACTACAAATGTTTTTTTTTTTTTTCTATTTTTTTTTTCTATTCTTCTCTGTTCTGTTTTTTTTATTAGTTCTATTTCATTTTCTGTTCAATTCTATTTTTATTCTGTATTATTATCTGTGCATCTCTGTCAACCTGCCTACCTGAATTTCCTGCATGCACGCCTGTCATTAATACATATACTTTGTAGATGTCTAGGAAAGGCTTAATTGTAGGTATGCTAGGTGTGAGGCATGGCTGTACAGTGACTCTAGTGTTCTTCTCTACACCCAGGAGAGTGGGTAGTGTAACATTTGCTGATAATCTATTTATTGTGTGTAATGAAGCAACAGAGCCGAGTGTGCAGGGCCACTGACTGGATTCATTATCATTATTAAATGATATTAAATAGATACAAATCCTTGGTCCCATTGTATTTGCATTCGATGTGTCTTCAATTGATTTCTGTGCCTGTGTTCTCTACACCGCTTTTGGACTAATATAAATCGATTGAGAATACATTAGAAGGTATCTGCTGGAGCGGGTTAGTTCATGAAATACATGGCGGATAAAGAGTAATTATTAAGATTACTGGCTTCTTCCTACTGAAGGGAAATCAAATTGCATCGATCTTTTTTTTTTTTTTGCTAGGGCAAAAGAATAAAAAATGAGAATACACACAATTGTTAATTGAAGATCATGTATGAGGTCATTTATCAAAAGGGGGTTTGCTAGTTATTGTGAACACAGGGAAAAAAAAGGGGGGGGGGGGTGCAGAGATATCAAAGAAAAGGCCGTTTGAAGTATTAGGGGGATTTAAGTCCATCTAACTGTTGCTGAAGCTCAGAGGCCCCAGCCAGGCTTTGATAACTGCTGACACCTTCTACTTACTTTCTGGCAGGCATCTATGAGTGCAAAGACAAGAGGGACGATGTGAAATCCGAGGATGAGGATGGGCAAACCAAACTGAAACAGAGGAGAAGCAGAACGAATTTTACATTGGAGCAGTTAAATGAACTTGAAAGACTGTTTGATGAGACTCACTACCCTGATGCTTTTATGAGGGAAGAGCTGAGCCAAAGGCTGGGACTCTCTGAGGCTAGGGTGCAGGTAAGTGCTAACGCTTTCATAGCTGCTAAAAAAAAATATGGTTTATCCAACAGTAAATCCAGCGTGAAAGTTACTGTAAATCTCAGCTAGAATTTTGTAAAAAGAAAAAAAAAAAACCCTCACAAAACATAATAATACAAACAATGATGATGATGATGATTAATATTAATAATAATAATACTAAATATGATTATGATGATGATGATTATAATAATGAAGATGATGACTGATATTAATTATAAAAAAAGATGATAATGATTACGTTGTTATTATTATTAATAATAATAATATAATAATAATAATCATTATCATCATCAAGATAATATTATCACCATCATCATTTTTTATTTAAACTTATTATTATTATTTTATTAATAAAAATGATGATGATAATAAAATAATTATAAAAACAATTTGAAGAAATATATTATTATTATTGTCATCATCATTATTATTATTATGTATATTATCATCAACATAATATTATCATCAGCATCATTTATATGATTAATATTAACATTGTTATTATTATTATTATTATTATTCAGGACTGGTATATACAGAATTGGATGAGGAGCTAAACGCCTAGTGTTCATCCAATCAGCATGGCCAGGTTCTGTACATACATATAGCAGTATCCAGGCACAATTTGGCACCGCATGCACATCTAACCCTATTAGTTTTCAGCCCAATTTTCCACCTTATGTCGTTGCCACCACCGAATGAAATAGGCCTCTTTAAAGGTTATGTGGCTGCTTTGGGGCTGGATTATCATGAGCCGGGGGGTAAGGGTGCCCCAGCTGACCTACTTGACAGGCATATGGATTTATGACATCCAAGTCTACCCCATCTGCTCACTCGCTGCTTTGAAAGCGCTGGAAACACAATCCTGAAAATGATTATTTAGTCAGTAAAACGTATTTACGAGCTTTTAGCTGAGCGTTCAACGTTTATGACAGGACGCATTGAATTAAATCTCTATTAGACATAAGTTTTCCTGTCCGAGCAGCAATCGATAAAGAGAAAATAAGTCCAAGCTTAGAAATAATTGCGATTAAAAAAAAAAAAAAGAATTGCAAATTCAAGCATGTAAAGTTGGATGTATAAAGGCAAGAACCACAAGTATAGATAGTAGACATGGAGATGGGGATAGTCCTTTCCTTCAAAATGTCATTCAGATTAAAGAAATAAATGGGATTGCTTAAAGTAGCACAAATGTCAAGAGGAGTAAAAAATAGTAGTGTAAAAAGTAGTGTATTTAAGTCACGAGTAGTAAAAAATAAAAAAGATAAACATCTGCATTTGGGGAAGTTTTTTTTTTATTGCCTCTTGTATGAAATATTTATTGTATTGTTTAATATATAAGCAGTGATTATCTATAACTCTCTTATTTGTGGGATTTCAGTCTCACAAAGTGACCACATAGTCCCTATTGCTTCTTATATTGCTGATTACAAAATGACCCCACAGTCTTCATTGTGGTTTATATTGTTGCTTTAAAATGGGACCACACAATCCCCCAGTGCTGATTATATTGTTTTCCTACAAAAGTGATCACACACTCTCCGTTGCTGCCTAACTTATATGGCTGCCTTACCCAGTGACCACACAGTCCTCGGTGCTGCTTATATTGCTGCCTTATGAAATGAGCATCATACAGTCCCCATGGATGCTCATACTACTGCCTTATAAATAGACCTCATCGTACTCATTACTTAGTGTTTATATTCCTGCTTTACAAAATGAGCAAGCAGTCCCAATTGCTGCTTACATTACTGCTTTGTACAGTGACCACACAGTCCCTAGTACTTACTGCATATATTGTCTCACACAGTGACCACACAGTCCCTAGTACTTACTGCATATATTGTCTCACACAGTGACCACACAGTCCCTAGAACTTACTACATATATTGTCTCACACAGTGACCACACAGTCCCTAGTACTTACTGCATATTGTACACGCAGGACCACACAGTCCCTAGTACTTACTGCTTATATTACTGCTTTGTACAGTAACCACACAGTCCCTAGTACTTACTGCATATATCGTCTCACGCAGTGACCACACAGTCCCAATTGCTGCTTATATTTCTTTTACAGTTACTTCCCTTACTTACATGTCCACACAGTGACCACTCAGTCCCACTTGCTTCTTACATTATTACATTGTCGTCTTACATGGTTACCACATAGTCCCCAGTACTTGCTGCTTATTTTGTTGTCCTACATAGTGATCACACAGTCTCCAGTACTAGAGATTGTATTATTGTTGTCATACATGGGGACCATACGGTCCCCAGCATTTGATTGTTATATTGTTGTCCAACACAGTGGCCACACAGTCCTTAATACATGCTGTATTGTGTCCCACACAGAGTCCTCAGTACTTGATGCTTATATTAATGCCCTGCACAGGAATGTACAGACCTCAGTACTAGCTGTATTGCTGTCCTACAAAGTGAACACACAGTCCCCAGTACTTGGTGGCAATATTGTTGTCTGACACACATAGTAACCACACAGTTCCCAGTAGTTGATGGTTATATTGTTGTCCTACACAGTGACCACACAGTCCCCAGTACTTGGTGGTAATATTGTTGTTCTACACAGTGACCACATAGTCTCTAGTAATTCATGCTTTTCCTGTTGTCCAACACAGTGACCATACAGCCCCCCTTCTTGATACTTATATTGTTGTCCTACACAATGCCCACATAGTCCCCAGGACTTGATGTATATTTTGTTGTCCTACACAATGACCACACAGTCCCCAGGACTTGATGCTTATTTTGTTGTCCTAACAATGACCACACAGTCCCCAGGACTTGATGCCTATTTTGTTGTCCTAACAATGACCACACAGTCCACAGGACTTGATGTTTAATTTGTTGTCTTACACAGTGACCGCACAGTCCGCAGGATCTGATGTTTATCTTGTTGTCCTACACAATGACCACACAGTCCCCAGGACTTGATGTTTAGTTTGTTGTCCTATACAGTGACCACACAGTCCCTGGGATTTGATGCTTATCTTTTTGTCCTACACAATGACCACACAGTCCCCATGATTTGATGCATATCTTGATGTCCTACACAGTGACCACACAGTCCCCATGATTTGATGCTTATCTTGTTGTCCTACACAGTGACCACACAGTCCCCAGAACTTGATGCTTATCTTGTTGTCCTACACAATGATCACACAGTCCCTAGGGCTTGATGCTTATATTGTTGTCCTACACAATGATCACACAGTCCCTAGGACTTAATGCTTATCTTCTTGTCCTACACAGTGACCACACAGTCCCTATGACTTGATGCTTATCTTGTTGTCCTACACAATGATCACACAGTCCCTAGGGCTTGATGCTTATCTTCTTGTCCTACACAGTGACCACACAGTCCCCAGGACTTGATGCTTATATTTCTGTCCTGTACAGTGACCAGACAGTTCTCAGTAATTATACTGTAACTTTTTTCTCCTGACCATGCATCCTATTCCCGGCATCTCTTTCCTCTTTCCCCATGCCTGAGAACAAAGTCATTCTAATAAGTGTTTTGTACATAAGCATTCCCATACTAAACACTTCCTTTCCCCTGTCCTAAGTAAAGTGTGGGATTATAGGGTCCCAGCACAGTTCAGGGCATGCTTGTGCTAGGCTCAGTTCATGTGAAGGATTGATCTGACTGTCCTAACCCACAACAGACACAGACAGAAAACGTCTTTTTTATTTAGCTAAAGGGGATATCAACTTTTATGTCATTTCCACTTCTCACGTTCTAGAGCTGTAATACCTCCATGTACCTTGATGTACTGTTTCTATTTAAAAAAAACAAAAAAAAAACAAAACAAATGACTTGTAATGGAATTCTGCACTGCCTCCTTTTAGTACTTTATTAGAGAGCAGCACCTTAACAGGATGTTCAAAGCTGCAGAAAATCATATTCTCAGCCAAAAAATGTCTATATTGATTCAGGTGGAGGGAATGCCAAAAAAAGGAAACAAAAGTGTTTGCTTTGAAAATAGCTGGGTATATTAAAAAAATGAAGCAAATGATGAGATTAAAAATAAGAAGGTATAATAATAGGAAGAATGAAATGAAAATAAAGGAGGGGTGCTAAGATACAGGAGTAGAAGTCACAGGAGCATTTTAATACTTGCTGGCTTGTAGTAAAAGCCATTCTATCAGCACACCCTGTCCTTGTTGTTAGAGGATCCAGTTTCAATTTAGAGTGGAAATTTGCTGTAAATAAATTGATGCTCCTATGTCTTGCTGGTCCTTATTAACCTTTTATTTTTAGCGTGTCCTGGAACCCCATACCACCCAGCTGTCAGGGTTATAATTGAAAGTTATGAGACCATGGTGAGGAGCAGGCAGTAATTCAATTACAAGGAATATCTCTTGGTTTATGGTGCACAGCTAAATTAAATGTCATTATTCACTGTCTCTAATGGAAATCAAAAGGAAATCAGATTAGGGTATTTGTGAAAGGAATCATTGAGTGATGCTTAATGAAGAAATAACTGTCTAAAACAGTATGCTAAGCTTTACTTAGAGTATTCCTGTCTAATTGGAACTGGTTGCAAATCGCCACACACTGATTCCTTATTGCTTAACCTACTGGCTAATTTATCACTTTTATTTATCATAAGCTGTTCTTTTTTTTCCCCTTCATTTGATATCTCCCATGGAGAAAATCTCCTTATTCCTGCAGCCTCCCTATTTGCAGAGGTCCCTAGCTAATGTGCCAGGAGCTATCCAAGAGATGACACCAGCTCAAATCACATTACACACTGATTGCACATATGCACTTCTCTTTGTTCACAACAACTACATCCACAACACACAGCTTTCCAGGACTAGCAGCCTTCGAAAATATTCCTTGGCTGAAAATGTAGTTGGAAGGGGGAGGGCTAGTAGTTTGCAATTTATGAACAATCTTTCTATCTCATTTCCAACCACAATTTTAGGTCAGATTTGCTGAATCAGCCTAA